CATATATGATAATATATATGCTGTATATGTGTGTATATATGACACATATAGGCAATTTTAGGTGCATATATGCACATATATGATAAGATATATGCTGCATATGTGTGTATATATGGCACATATAGGCAATTTTAGGTGCATATACAGGCCATATAGGTCTCCTGCATTGCTTCTTTATATCCACATATAAGTGCTATATACAAGAGTATCCTATACTGTAGCTCATGGCAGGATCTGGTCATTTGTAGCTCATCCACTCTAAACAATGCTGGGTTGTTTGAACCCAAATTTGGGTGAAATATGGACAAACCAAATGTTTGGTTAAAAATGTAATTTCAAAATTTAACCCAAATTCAACTTTCACTTTTTCAACTGTAATTTTTTTTAATTGCATTTTTAACCCAACATTTGGGTTTGTCCATGTTTGACCCAAAGCATTTTTAGAGTGTATGTGGGTAGTTGACGTGACGTGGCTTTTTCACCGTCACAGAAGATAAAAAATCATTTATTTCACATTTTCATAATTTAGAAAACTGTAAATGGTTAAAGGGTTAGTTCACCCAAAAATGAAAATTAAGTCATTAATTACTCACCCCCATGCTGTACCAACCCCGTAAGACCTTCGTTCGTCTTCGGAACACAAATGAAGATATTTTTGATTAAATTTGAGAGCTGTATAACTACCACATTGGCTCCTAAAGGACTGCCTCTTGACGGCCCAGAAAGTCAATGAAGAAAATGTTTAAATATCCCAAGTGACTACCGTGGCTCAACTATATGTTTATCAAGCGACGCGAATACTTTTTGTGCGAAAAAACAAACAAAAATAACGAGTTTATTCGACTATTTCTTTTCTTCCTTGTAGGCCAGAACGAGACTTCCTTAGATTTCCACGACGCATGCGCGAGAATTGCGATCTGAAGTAGTTTAAGCTGGTGTGAGCAGATCGCAAATCTCCAATGTGGTAGTTATACAGCTCTCAAATTTAATCAAAAATATCTTCATTTGTGTTCCGAAGACGAACGAAGGTCTTACTGGGTTGGTACAGCATGGGGGTGAGTAATTAATGACTTAATTTTCATTTTTGGGTGAACTAACCCTTTAAGCATTTTCTTGTTTTACATGAATTTATTGTTTTAATACCAGAGTTACTTTTTATTTTTTTACAACTTTGAGCCAAATCTCAAACTCGTCCTGTGTGACGGGAGACAACATTTTTTCATAAACATTACCTTTAATAAATAAAGAAAATAACGTTTAAAAATCTTAATGGGCACTCCTGGCATAATTGTGCAAGTGTCTATTTCACTAAGTGGCCAATCATTTTCCTATACATACATTTCTAAATGTATGGGAATTTCATAAAGTTTGTCACAGAAAAAAATGTCCTTTGGTGTTACGCAATAATCTGATATTATGTTGGGCAATATCATGGACAACTACATTTAGTAGAAAGTAGGGGTGTGCAAAAAAATCGATTCACATTTGAATCGCGATTCAATCTTTTACGATTCAGAATCGATTCATAGAATTCCAAAAATCGATTCATAGGCTATATTTTTTAATGACGTGCAGGGGCGGAGTGGCAATCGGGTAAGTCGGGACTTTTACCGGTGGTCCGGTAGTGTTTCTATGGTTTCGAGGCTGCGAGGGCCGGTCTGATAAATAGTTATTGCAAGTTCTTGCCGCCCGCTGGTCAAACTGTGCAGCCACTCTGCTCAACCCGTAAATAAATGCATCGATCCGCAGATCTTATGTTTGAGTTCTGTAGATCTTTTGCCAAGCGTGTCAGAGGTGACGAGTTCTAAACCGCACTCGTATAGTTTTTTCTCTCTCTCATCAAAACCGAATATGTTCATCACGTTTGTGTGCATTTTATTTTGTGATTTCACCGGAGTCTCCACAACGGCGATAGATTGAAGCGCGCGTCCGAGAGAAGACTGCGCGAGCCACAGAGAACACTGTAACGTTATATCCATGACACTGATTGCAGCGGACACGAGCGCTCAGCTTGATTTCAAAAACAACAGGTCTCTTATTTAATAGCGACCTAAATGAATGCTCTGCTAGTTAACTGGAGATACCCGCAAATTACGCGCCTATGAACGACTTCACTGGATCTAAACAAATCAATCTAACCATAGATGTTACCAGTAGCGGTGGCTTTTTTAAATCTATTTAAAATATTTTCGCAAGGGTTCTATGAAATTAGGAAGTTCAATGTGCCCAGTCGAGTTCACATTTCAACAGTCGCTGAAGTAGGCCTACTCCTTAAACCACATTTAGCATAATTGTTTGTTTGATCTGACTACAGCACTTTAAAGCTAAATGTAAAAGCTTTTTTATTTAAGTTTTATTTTAAACTTGAATTAAATGTATTTAAAAGCTGGCCAAAGCTTGGCACTTCACACTTTTTAGTTGCAAAAGTTTTTATTTAAGACATTTTTTATTAAGACATATAAAGTAATATCAAACTTTTCTTTTAAATTATGTCTACTGCAATCAATCACATAGGAAAAAGTAAACTACATTTATGTAGACCTGCGAATCGTTTTTTGAATCGAGAATCGATTTTGAATCGAATCTAGAGACAAAAAATCGGTATCGAATCGAATCGTGACATTTTCTGAATCGTGCACCCCTAGTAGAAAGACCCCATTCAAGGTCATGTGACTGAAGACCCCTATGAAGCCCACGAGCAGTGCACATAGTAATTATTTCTCTCAAAATTGCTCAAATATTTAACTATGATTTCAGACCACTGAAGTTGTTAAGGTTTTTTTGTCCTTTGGTGTGACGCCCCTAAATTTTATTTTTTAATTTAAATTTGTATTTTTAACAGCAGGACTATGTAATATTATGCAATGCCAATTGCTAATGACAGTTCAGCTAGCATTACCATAGTTATTAACATGCCACAAAAAGCTCAAATGTCCTTTGGTGTGACAGGAAATGTCCTTCGGTGTGACACTTTGGCCTGTCACACCACAGGACACAGATGTCACACCATAGGACAAGACCTCCTTAAGAAGCTATTAAAACAAATAGATAAAGTTTGTTAACGTTCTTTTCATTCTTTTTTGACCAGTTTTGATGATCTTAAATTCAATAATGACTTAAATTTTTATGTTTATTGCCGTTTTTTTGGAGTGTTACTAAAACAACTATAATGTATAATATAACAACTATAAACAAATATAAAGTTCATAAATACAGTGCTACTACTTATAATGCTATTTACCTTTTTTATAACAAAAAAAAAAAAAACTGAGGGAGAGATGAGTGCAAAAGAGGGGACCAGACAGTATAGGGAGCGAATTAAAAAGGATCCTAAGCAAACGATGGAGAAAGTAAATCCAACTGAATGTTTCCATATTCTTCCTATAACCTACATCTTAAAGTAATTTAGGGATTTTGCTGAGTGACTGAATGACTTATCAGAATAGACGTGCGTGTGAGGTTCAGGTTCAACATAATAAGCGTGTTATTACAGGGTAATAATCTATTCTGTTTTATAAGAAAGTAGTTACATTTGTTGGGAAAACACAGTAGGTCATGAGTTCATAATTGAGTACTCATTACATTAATTTCTCTGTTGATCCATTCATCTATCATTATTTCAAACAGATATCATGAAAAGAAGGCTCTCAGGGAATTGGAAATTTCATTTTTACCTTTGAGTTCATTTGAGTCAATAGTCATGAAATTCAATTGAATTTTACTGTTTCCATAATGCATTTTTCATTCGATATCACTTTATTCGCATAAAAATGTGTGGATGGAAACATAACTATTGTTTCTGTTTAACTGATGAACAATGACAATGTCACAGTATTGTTTGGAAATGGCATTTTACTGTATTTCTCAAAGATATTATGTTTTGATGGATCTATAACTATCAAAGTTACTTTAGGTGTGATATGTTTTGCACAGTTTATATTGCAGAAAAATGAAAAACAAATGTCCTCCTTTATAATTGTTACTATAAACACTATATAGTCTGACTCTTTTTATGCAGTGACTATCTTTGTCCTTTGGTGTGACGTTTTGTCCTATGGTGTGACAAACATAAAACAACAGAAAAATATACTTATTTCAAAATATGTTTTTAAAAAAGAGTCAAGTTTGGCATTAGGGGAGTTTCAATAATATCTCCTCTTAGATGGGTACAATTTCAATAAGTTTTGTAAGGTTGGCGAAAAAGTTTTATTGACATTCGTAGGGAAAAGTTTATCAAGTTAATCTATTCATGGTAAAAATTATTCAAATTTTTACTTTCATATAATATAAATATCACTTTCATAAAAAAATGTTTTAATAATGTGAACAATTCTCTCAAATATTTTTTTTAAATGTTATTTAATATAATTTTTCAGTACTTTTTAAATGTCACACCATAGGACATATTTACAGTATCGTTGAGTGAAAACGTGAAAATAATATGTGAAGTCATTGACAAAATGAGTTAACACTACTATTTTCTGAAACTGCAGTTTTCATACTCCATATGTATTTTTTCTTAAAAAGTTATGTTTTCCTAAAAAAGTACTTTTTCTTGGCCATTTGTCAACTATAAATAAATAAATATTTATATACATATCAGAATGACTTAGTGGAAAAGAAGGAAATGTATAACAAAAGGGTTTGTTGTTTTTTCATTTTACCAAAAAGCCCTTTTTCCAGTTTCAAGTCACTTTCCCATACACATCCACACATTCACCGATACATCCACCAAATGCAATGCAAATTGCAATGTTTTCTGTATTGTCTGAATGCAGTTTTTTTCTGGCTGAAAGGTCATGACAGTCAAAATGTAGCAAAAAAAAAAAAAAGTGAATAGAACGTACATTCAAATAATCATCATCATCCCACCATCTATCTGAGTAATTCACAGTGGTTAATAAATTCGAATGCTTGTGCACTGCCGATTGGCCGCTACAGCGCCCCGTAGTTGATGACGTCACCCGCCTAACGCTTGACGTTATCCATATCCGATGAGATGAAGTCAAGTTTCGCGCCGGAAGATAACGGCTGGGAGTAAACATTGCGATTTCAGCATTGGAGATCCTCTAAGTCCTACTTATCACCAATCGTAAGTATTCGTAAGGGTATTTTTTTTTTTGGGGGGGGGGGGGGGGGGAGGAAATTGCGGTGGCAGAGAAGTATAAACTTAGCATTTATTTTTTGCGAAACTCACCTGTTTCAGCCCATACACTTCCTATGTTGTTAGCTGGTGAGGTAACGTAACGTTACTGTGGGTGCTAATATAACTTAGCCATTGATAAGATTCAATTTAGAATTAACGTGTATTTATTTGTTTCTTTCTGGAGGAATTCGTAGAGGGTTAACAAAAGTCATGGCCTAGAGAACATAACGTCATGAGAATAAATGATACTTCTCTGCCAACGGCTCAAGAAGGCAATCGGCTCCAAAAAAAAAAAAAATACCTGTGGAGTTTGAATTTGGTCGAAATTGGTGAAAGAAAATTGCATTCACAACCAGGTTTCCTCTCCAGAGCCGTATCAATGGGCTTGCCTTCACAGTTGCAGGAAATGTCTTTCAAATAGTAAACATTAACGTTAGGGCATTACTATTTTGATTAAGTGATTGTAATTGCTTTTATATAACTTCTTTCTAGAATTACCTCAAATGAAAAGTTACCTCGCCATTATTGCTCAAAAGGTAAGTTCCTCTGATTTTGCTTTTTAAAATTGTTTCTCTAGCAGAGCTGTAGGGACTTGTGATGTTGGGCTGATTGATAGTGTTAATTATTTGATTTAAGTTATTTGCACTTTAATTTATTGAAGAGAATAACTTTTATTTTTCTTCTATGAACAAGACTGGAAGGAGTCCTGTGGAGGATTTAGATTAATCCTCTTTTGAGAAGTGCAACCAATGAGTAACCCCCTTGAATTTTTATTTATTTATTAATAAATCCCCCCCCCCCCCCCCCCCCCCACACCCTGTCCTCCTCCTCCTCTCCTTTAAGAACATTTAGGGCAATTATTAATTTGTTTCATATCTTTATCATTAATCTGCATTTATACATAAAAACATATAAACTATTAGGAAGCTAAGCATAAGAATTAATATGAAACAATGTCAATAAATGAATAAATTATTTTTCAGATTGAAGTTATAAAGGGCTCTGGGGTGTTTTGCCAGGCAAATCTATTCTGTCCTTAAAAAACAATTAATATTCTGTGGAATAAATTATGTTTGTGTGCGGGCATACCATCGCTTTTTTTACTTGCCATTTTTGTATTTCCTTGCACCTCAAGAAAATGTGATGTGATGTGTATATACAAGCTTCATTTTAACCTCCTTTTATAATAATTTTGAAATTGTACTTTAAGGTGGGAAGCCAACCAGAGGGGATGGGGAGCAGCTGGTCGCCCTTGACCAAAATTAAAAAGGCATCATTATTGGTGAGTAAATGTATAAAAGTTTTGTTTTCCCTTCTCAACGCATTAGGATTTTATAAGTTCACCACTTTAACCATAGCCTACTTGTATCAATGTTTATTCGGCATCAATGGAAACTGTATAAGGGATTATTGTTACTATATCTGCTTGGAACCTATAATACTAATTCATCGCTTGCTCAGTTCTTGATCCTAACTTTCCTTTTCTTAAGCCACGTTTCAGATTTTTCAGAATCTTCAGAATCTTCCAATAGGCTTTATGCACAACTTACTTCCGCATTCTCTGTAAAACAGGTCGCATCGCTTCCGGTCCAGGTCTTTTGTATGTGCTTCAAGAAATTTTTTGCGGTTTTACTCAAGATAACTTAAAAGGAGCGAACAAAGATTAGCATAACCAATATCCCTCACATGTGCAGATTGATATTTAAACGTTTTATATTTTTTATTCTTCACAGTAACGTTTAGATATTTAAATGTAATAAAACGCCAATAACAAAGTGAACTAGGTAGGTTAGCTGATTACCATAAATATCCATAGATATCGTAGTCAGTTCTTACGGCCGTTAACACTTTCTCTGACAAGCGGATGCGATGAGACCCGTTTTCCGGTTTGGTCACGTGACGAACGGCATAAAGCCTATTGACATGTTTACATGACGCATTTTTTAAAATGATCAACCTTTTATCAAAAAATATGTGTCCGATCACATTTGTACTGTAAGCACTTTGGGTTCCTGATGAAGTACTATATTCTTCTTCTTATTATTATTATTATTATAGTGTCTTATTATTTTTGTCTTCTCTAGATGCTACATTGAAGAAGTGGCCGGCAGCCAGCCGAGGGGAGATGGGCACGTCTATCAATTCAAAGCTCATGGAGCTGAGAAGATCAAAAAGATTTTTTTTTTCTATCCAGTTTTTTTGTCTTATTTTTGTTTTTGTACTATTTGATCTTAAGTAAATAAATAATCTAAATGCATACATTTTGGACTATTATTTATGTCGCCTAGTAGCTATGGATTTTAATAATTATTCTAATATACGTAAACATGTTGGTGCATGTATAGGTGAACATATATGTTCATATATACATGCATAAATGTACTTATATAGGTACATATATGCATGTATATATGCACCTATATGTGCACATATATGCGTGCATACATGTACATATATAGGTACATATATGCATGTATATATGCACCTATATGTGTACATATATGCATGCATACATGTAGGTTAATATATGCACAAATATATGCACCTATATGTGTACATATATGCGTGCATACATGTTCATATATGCACCTATATGTGCACATATATGTGTGCATACATGTACCTATATAGGTGCATATATATGTGTACATATATGCATGTATAATATATGTGCATATATGTACATATAATATAGGAAAACGGCCAATTTTATATATGTCACATATATTAAAAACATATATCAAAACCTATATTAAAACATATATGTTTATATAGGTTTTTTCCATGTGGGTGGAGCGGGACACAAAGCACAGGCCTCGGAGAACCTCCACAATCATCTGACAGACAAGACGAGTGAGCAAACAATATATAGGACATCCTCATTCAGAACAGCTGGCGCTGATCGGCTCATCAGTGAAACGAGCCCGCTGATGAGCCGCGCCCATTCATTCAGCACGCACACACATAGCGAGAGAGAGAGAGTCAATAGGCGTTTCTCAATGTCAAGGAAGGATCCTCGGAAGCCGGAATTTCGAGGATGCTACGTCATCGACGTCCGTCGAAGGACTGTTCCAATGTCGAGGATCCTCAGAATTTCAACCAAGGACTGAGTCCTTCGTTCGGAAAATATCCCATACACAGGAAAGGATGCATATGTGTAGCCTTCGCGCTCTTAAATCACCCACAATCCTATGCGCAGCTTTGCTATCTTGTTTAAAAAATTAAAAAATGTCGACCGTTAGCGGAGTCGGAGTGATAACGGCAATATGCTTTCAAATGTAAGCAAGTATAATTTCAGTTTAGCCATTTATTTAATGTTTGTTAAACTATTTAACATATCGGCTCAAATTTGCTGAGGGGATTTAAAGCTGTTCCCTTTTACTGGTGATTAACTTTTTAATTTTTACTTCATAGCCTTTTTTGTTGGTCACATATTTTACAATTGCATGTGTTTTAACAGCTAACGTTAGATCATGTTGCTATATGGACGTAGTTCTGTTAACTCCGGTAATATAATCGTTTTTGAATGAATAAACTCCTTTTTAAATCAATATTTTGTGTCAAATTATTGATTTATTTGGTAGGTAGCCATGTTATAAGTGGGAAAATGTATAGCGAGGCGGTTGTTACAGCGAATACAACCGGCTGATCAAGACCCCTCTGCTTTAGAGTTTGCGGGGTTGTATTCACTATAACAACCGCCTGGTTATACATTATCCCTTTATTTATTTATTTCTATGAGGACTGACAAGACAAAATAAGGACTGTCAAGTGTATTTAAACAGTGCAGTACACCAGCACAATGATTTTTGCAGCGCCGAAGCGGACCTTTCACTGATGTAATGACGCAATGACGTGCACTTGCTAGCCTGTTCCATTTACATGTTCTCCGAACGCTAAAGAGGACCCTTGCCTAGCCTCTGAAGGAAATGACTTGGAAGGACCCGTCCTGCCAAGGAAGTATCCTTGACATTGAGAAACACCTAATGAATCCATGAACCATGACAGGACTGACTGCGGGTCTGATCCTAGTCAGGATTGCAATAACAGTGTTTATTCATTTTGCCTGGCTTCAGATGGAATGTTTACTTGCGTGCTAATTACTAAGGGGCTAACCCCACAAAAACAGCCTAAGCTTTTTCTTTTCAAAATATTATTTCACAATTGTTTAAAGCCCCTATCATAGCATTTGAAATGTTCCTATTTTTGTTTTAATAGTTCCCAAACACAGTTTAACGTGCATGCAAGGATAAAAAACACTTTATTTGTCCTGTAATATGCATTTATTTTTGACCGATTTGCTCAACGACTCCCAAATGATTCGTTCGACGATTCATTTTACCAAACACATCCTTTGATCATTTGAATCTGCGGCGATTGATCAAATGACCCAGTCAGTTGTTTTTGGTAAACCGTAGGCAGAGACTGTCGGCAACGGAACGCCCATAACCAGGATTATAGCTTGTCAAGTGTTGAAAATTGTATTCAGGGGCGGTTTACCGGACAGGGTTTAAATTAAGCCTGGAGTAGGCCCTAATCTATAATAGTTAATCGCGTCTTAAAAAATGGCTTTTTGTAACACAGATTAAGTACAGATTAGTTACACTTGGACTATGGAGTCCTGAAGTAAAATAAATCAGATTAAATTAAAACCAACTGTGCTAATCTGAATTAGCATGACAGAGGTTGCCTATAAAACATGGAATGAACCAAGAAAAGCTTAAAATTGCATGGAACTGAGAAACAAATCCAAGGAAAACAATGGCATCAGAAAAAGACTGCAATCAAAAAACATTTACTAACAAGAGAAAATTATTTTTATGCAAGCTAAATAATCTGCACACACCAGCTATGGAATTAAAGAGAAGAAATATCAGGAAATCTGTTTGTATAAACAGATTATATATATAATGAAATACATACATATAAAATCAATGATGCACAACTAGAATCAATAGTGTTCTTGAACAATGAATGTTTTCATTTAAAATGAATTATTCAAACAACTCTATAATTAATGCTTCTTGTTTATTCCTGTAATTTACATAACAAAGTTTACTTTACAGATGTGGTGTTCAGTGTTACATAACTAGAAGCAATACTTAAGAGTAGTTTCATAGTGGTTGCTTTATTAAGTATTCAACTTGAATTTTTTTGTAGCAGGTCCTCGCTCCAAACACAGGCTCAACACTTCACCAAAATGGTAACCCCCCAAAATACTAACATAACATAAACGTTTAAATAACAACATAATAATAGAACATTAAACATTCTCTCCGTTTTCTCATCTTACTTAAATAATTGCATAAAATAGCACTTAATTTCAAACTTTACATTTCAGCCTTGTGCAAAGCATGATGGGAAGTGAATGTATGACTGGGTTACTAGATTGAAACATATTTCAAAGTTAAAACAACAAGTAAAGTCAAAGAGTGACCATTTCAAGTTACACTCTTAGAATAAATGGTTCTATTTAGAACTAGAAATGGTTCCATCCCCCGCTTCATATATGGAACTCCAAAATGGTTCTATATAGAACCATTTTTTTGGTAAAAGGTTCTATTGGCCAAGTATGGAACCCCAGGGTTCTAGAACCCAGAGGAACCATTTTTTTAAGAGTGTATAGAACCTTTTAGGGGTTCCAAATATGTAGCGCTAATGGAACCTTTTAAGGTTCTATATAGAACCTTTTTTTCTAAGAGTGCAGATT